TGGGGTTCCCTAGTATGGGGATGGGTGTGGGCAATTATGGGTTTGCTTTGCTTTCCCCATGTTAGTGTGATGGAATGGAATTATGAAGGCCAGGCTCAGGGAGAAAAACATTTTCTTACCTCTCCTGAGGAGCGTGGGAAATATAAGAGGATGAGACTGGCACCTCCCTGAGGAATTCACAGTGTTGTGGCTGGCATTACTTTGGAGCTGGGGTTTCAGTCTGGGAAGATTGATGTCAGACCTAGCCCAAAATGTTTTTCTCCCTGAGCCTGGCCTTCATAATTCCATTCCATCACACTAACATGGGGAAAGCAAAGCAAACCCATAATTGCCCACACCCATCCCCATACTAGGGAACCCCAATAATCCAGCACCCTACCGCCCAAGGGGTACCTACACCACAGAATGGCTTCTGCCTACAGCACAGCAGATCCTCCTGACCCACCCATACACTCACACCTACCCAACTCTCTTGCTCTCACCGGGCACACATTCGAACACATCTAAGGCAGATCAGATGCAAATGCTCCTCCCTCCCCCGGGTCTCACCTGAGGCAGTGGATTTCTTCCCAGTGAAGTGGATGCTCATGTACACATAGCTCCTGAAGCAACCAGACAAGCTTTGTAAACAGCTCTGCTGTTTTAACAATTTGAGAAGATATGCTTCATGCACGCTCCTGCTCATTATAAAGCATCTCTTCTGAATACTGTACCTAGTGCTAATTAGCAACATACATATCCCGAATATTTATATAAAGATATATGAGTCACTGTGTCTACTATCAAATATTCAACATTTAGTACAAACATTATCTGAACCTGAGCATAAAACTACATTAGCAGAAGTGAAAATTTGACTCATAACTATGTTAGGCTACTTTGTCCCAGTTAAGTATTTTGAAAGACAGAGAGAAATATGGGATATCTGAGGAGGAGTAAGACAGATTGTTTGCATAAAAACTGGGATGTTTCGTATCTGTAATTTTAGATAGTATCATAAAATGTTATCCTTAAAAGATAGGACTTTCAGATATTAAATGCATTTATTTCCTCCAAAAACTCAAAGTAGTAGACATAGGATCTCTCTTCTTTTTATCCTCACAACACCACCTCTGTGAGACAGTTTGGCTTGAAAGAGAACGACTGGCCTAAAGTCACTCAGTGAGTTTACATAGCTGAGAGCAGACTTGACATGGGGCTTCCCAGTCATTCTTCAATACCTCAATACAATTTTATTTACTGAAGATGAGATTTTGGTTTTGGAGTATATCTATTTTTACTAGAATGCAGAGGTTTCCAGATGTGAATCAACTCATCAGCTACAATTTGGTTCAGCAGGTGAAACGGACTAACTATTGTATCCCATATTAGAATACGTATTGCAAAATACTGCTTATACACATATGAAATTAAATTTGATTTTAGTTTTGGAATCTTTTATTTAAGCAATAGAAAAAACCCTTTTTTCCCTAAAATAAAGCTTTTAAAAATCGATAGAAAAGGATAGTTTCATACCTGTATATACATCCTAGTGTATGGCTGAAAAGATATAACAGATCATTGGGTATTTATTATATTAATAGAAAGAAGTTTCTTTTTCCCCTATGTTGAAAAAGAGGGAATGTGAAAGCCTTACGAATATACTGTATATTTTATTGTTTGTTATTTAACTAAACCTAAACTAAACTTACCTAAGCCACTTCATTTTTCAAAGCAATTTAATTAACTTCTCTTACAGTGCAGTCTTCACATGCATATTCAGAATCAAGTCCCTTTGAGTTTAGCGGAGTCTTACTCTTAGGAAAGTGAGTACAGTGTTCAAAATTAAGTACTTTTCCTTAGGTTCAGTGTCTTAGTTCTAATGTCTTAAGAACTTTGACAACCGCCTATTATTTTTTTAAAAAACAGACCATATTTTATCGCTGCCTTGTTTTATAGTTTGAAATGGAGACTAAGAATGTGAAATTGGAAAAAAAAATCAAAGAAAACAGCTGTAAAACTAAAATAGTAATACAGTGGGAAAAAATCAATGCAATGCATTATTAAAGTAGAATACACTTCATTACCTCAGGGCCTGCTTGTTCCTGAGAGGCCTCTGAGGCAACTCTAACAACACAGTGAACGTGTTGGAGCATCAGACTGGTAGCGAATATTGGTAGAAATTAACATCATGTAACCTTTAAGAAAAACAAAACAATTTGGTTTAGTCAAACAAATATTTTGATTATGATATCACATCTTTCTAATTTCCTTCTAGGAGGATGCCCAAATTTATTCAGTGATATTTACACCTTATTTTTGAAATCTAACTGGACATCTATAAACATTAGCTAAGAGCAGCATTAGAGAAGGCAAATGATAGCATTTATACAGGTAAAGTTACAATTCTTCTGAGGCTGAAGGTCTGGCCTTTGCCTTTCTGCCTATACAACATCTCCTTAGATTCCTGTTATTCTGTTGTATGTGGCTAGTTAGTGTTTAGGCCACACCAGCAATTGTCAAGCAATGATCTTACTATCACTTAAAATTTTCATAGAAAACCTGTCAGGTGTGCTTATAGCCAAGGTATACAGATGCTTTTAACCCAATTCTAGACCTGACACTTTGGAGGCCATTACTTTCAAGGATTCTCAAACAAGAGTTCATATTTCACTCAAGAAGACTAAAAAAATAATCGACAAAGTAAACAATATCCAACTATGTAATTAGCAGAAAAGATCTAACCAACTCCCATCAAATATATGCAAAGAGAAAGACCTGGTTCAGACATTGTTCTACAACATAAATTGGGATTTACAAATCACAATGAGTAATCCATAGATAACATTAAGCCAAACCCACACAAACCACATTATGGTTTAATGCCATGTGTGAACATACCCTGCAATCACCAAGAAGCCTAAACCAGAGCTAATATCACAATCACAGATTAACAGAGAAACTGACTTATCAGCATCACTCCACCACTGGTTTTCTTGTGATTGTAGAGATAGTTAATCTTGGGTAATTCTACAGTTACCAAAGAAAGGTAAGTACCATCAGTTCCAACTCAGCCTTTTTCAAACAACCATGGAAATAAATAAAAAAAAGGGGGGGGGAGGAGTGGATGGGAATAGTGCTTGCTATCTCAAATATAGAGCTTCACAAATAGATTTGATCTTTGAAATGGTGCCTAGGAATTTCAGAATAGGATTAGTGCACATATAGATGAACTTCTGCATATTCACCAGCCCCACGTCATTGACAAATTATTCTGAATA